GTGGTACAGACATAGTTTGGAACTCGAGAAAGGACATAAAATAGTTTTTTTTATACCAAAAATCTCCAAGAAGTCTCTATTCCACGCGAACGGAGTCGCGGGCAAAACCTAGCTTAAAAATAAATCTAAATCATTAATTGCAGCTAAACCATAAATAGGTACTTTTTAAACGTAAAAATAGAATAGTAATCTGTCAGTCTGTTCGTCAGTGAAGCTAGGTGCTCGTTCCAAATTGTAGATTCGAATGGAGAAGAACGAGCAAGAAACTCTATCAATATCAATCATCAAATTGGGTAATGCTAAAAATCAGCGCCCCTGACCTGATGACTATCGTATCCCCACTGAATATACATCTTTATATCATAAGTCGGCAAACGAGCAGACGGATTACCTGATGGTAAGCAATCATCGCCGCCCATGGATACTCGTAAAATCGAAGGAGTTACAACAAGTGCGTCTCATCTTAAGTGTGGGAGAGCCATGCTTCGGCACGAATGGGTCGGCCCGACCGGAGCGATACCACGGCCTCACAGAAAACCGGCGTGAAACAACCACAGCGTTGTGTTTCGCCGTGTGAGTGAAGTTATCGGAGGCCCAATCCTTCCCCTCCACCAATCCCTCCTCAATCCCTAAATCTCCAAATCCTTAATAGGTTGGCAACACACTCGTAACTCCTCCGTTGCGAGCGTCCATGGGTGGCGCTGATTGCTTACCATCAGGTAATCCGTCGGCTCGTTTGCCGACCTATTACATAAAAAAAAACTTGACTCGAAGGTAATTAGATTAGGGATTTAAGGATTTAAGGGTATGGGATTGGAGACCGTGGTTTAGTTTTAGTTTTTATCTCTTTTAGTCTGTCAGTAAGAGTCTGACACAATCAGAAGAAGTCACATGATCATGCACCATCATAAAAAAAATTGCAATAAAAATGTTCTCGCGTCATTGCGTACGAAATTATCATTGGTTATGGTCATCTGTTGACCATGATTACGGCTGATGATCGCAGAGGAAGTCTTATAGACTACCGGACCTTATCCAAGGTGACAAATCAACTGAATATATCTTTGCTTCGAAATTAAAAATAGTAGGCTCAATTGCATCTGGATGTTACGGTAGTTTCCAACTAGTCAAATTCAATACTTTTATCCAAACGTCAAAAACGATAATTTTCTATGAAATTTTGTGTAAAACTGAGTCATGACGTCGTACATAGTATGTTTAGGTCAAACAGCTTACTTATATCTTAAAAATTAGCTAAAAATATCTCAAACTAGCTACTCTAGCGCGGTTTCACCCGCTGCTCAGCTCCATTTGATCGTAGAGTGATGTTTTATAGCATTATAGCACTCAGGAACATTGTAGCTATCTATCAGTGAAAGATTTTTTGCAATCCGACCAACGGTTCCAAAGATTACCCCCTACATACAAACTTACATACCTCTTTATAATATTAATATAGATGTAGTGTATCGATCGATCGATGAAAAAAAGTATAGTTATTTTTCAATATGTCATTGTATTGAAACGCCGAAATAATTTATATTTGACCTAGCAAACTACCTAATTGACTAAGGTGCTTCAAAATAAATTATATTTTTTTAATAATCAATGTGGGAGAGCCATGCCACGACACAAATTGGTCGACCGGAGTGATACTACGGCCTCACAGAAAACCGACTTGAAACAACCACAGCGTTGCGTTTCGCCGTGTGATTGAGGTTATTGTAAGGCCAATATTCCCCTTCCCCAATCCCTAAATCCCCAAAAGATCATAACTTACCACCAGGTAATCCATCTGCTCGTGTATATGGCATAAAATAAATAAAAAAAAGAACGATGATCATTCAAAAAACCACAATCGTCCGATCGCACCTGATGATTTCGTCAGCACATTGACAAATCATTGGTCAACGTTTAGCGTCAAATTTCCCCAAAGCCAATAAGTTATGTAAGTGACTGCATAATACTACTTATAATGACTGTTTGCTCGACTAGCTGAGGTTAAGCCAGGATATGCACGTCGATTCTATAAAATTTGTTTTATTTTGAATCGTGTTCGAGTGCGAAGTGAGCGTCGAAGTGACGGGGAAATTAAATTTTAGAATGCCACTTTTAACGTCATCTCATACTTTATCTATCAAAATGTTGCGGTCAATTTAGTTCAACTCGCAAGTGTAGCGCTAGTGTACTACTACTCACAGCGGATTCAGATTCGAAGTTTAGAATGAAGTCTTACAGAATCACACCCATGATGGTACGCGTTAGTGTTCTTTTGCGAGACAGTGATAAGGGAGCTGCAGAGCGGGAGAGGGAGATCTTGACACCCTTTCCCGGCCGCAGGAGAAGGGTTGATATTGTCCTTTTCCGCCCTCCTTTTCCTTCCTCCCTCCTCCTCCTTTCCTTCCTCCTGGGTCCAGGGTCGAGGGACTTAGAGAAGTCTCCATTCTCTACTCGGTGGACCCGTGGTAGATGCGTGCGCGGATGTTGACGCGTGCCTCTTAGGTGATGCACGGGGTTATTAAACACCTCACTACTCTGTGCAGGAGACGAGGCCTGTAGGCCAGCACTAGGGTGGAGTTGCGGAAGTATGTGGATTCCCGTGACCCCACGCATACGTGCGAGGAGACACCGGGGTGGTTTTAGCCGCTAAGATTCCGGCATGCTGATCCGCCTTCCCCGGGCGGAGAAAGTCCATGGAGGATTACGTCCACCGTTAAAAAAAGAAAGGCTAGATATGGTTACAGGATTTCATATCAACCACTAACGATCTATCCCAGCTTCATCAATCATTCTCTATCTATAAAAAACCGCATCAAAATCCGTTGCGTAGTTTTAAAGATTTAAGCGTACACTTTTAGGGATAAAGTGAAGGATTGGGCCTCCCGTAACCTCAATCACACGGCGAAACACTCTCCGTTAGAGCCGACCCATTCGTGCCGAAGCTTGGCTCTCCCAACGAAAATGACTCCCAAACTGCTTTGATATTTGACAAGGAACAAACTTGACATATAAAGTTGTCTGAAGAATCAATGTACTTCAATAGATTACCAACCTTATTACTGATGCTTATAGAGTAGAAAATCAAATAAGCGAATATGAAGGAACGGAGTACCTAGTTTCTTGTGCCGTTGTCTGTGCATGACACAACTTTGTAGTGTCTGTGGTTTTTCCATTAAAAAAGCATTCGTTTATAAGTGAAATGCAAACAAGCAAACGGCTTGAGTTTTTGCAAAAAAGCATCTTAACACTATCTAAATAAAATGTATATTTGTATTGTTATCCGGTAGAGACCGTTCTTAAGATATTGGTCCAAGACATTGATCACGTTTTAATAAAAAAAAAAAATCTTGTCTATAACTTCAAATCCAACTCCACACCTATCCAATCCAACAACCAATCCTTCCCTGCCCCCAATCCCTAAATCTTCAAATCCCTAATCCCTAAAAGGTCGGCAACGCACTCGTAACTCCTCCGTTGCGAGTGTCCATGGGCGGCGCTGATTGCTTACCATCAGGTAATCCGTGTGCTCGTTTGCCGACCTATTACATAAAAAAAACTTAGTGCTTATGTTATGTGATAGGACGGCAAACTAGCAGACGGATTACCTGATGGTAAGCAATCAGTGCCGCCCATGGAGACACGCAATAACGGAGGAATGCGTTGCCGACCTCTCAGGGATTAGGGTTTAAGTGATTTAGTTATTGAGATGGGATGGAGGGAGGAGAAGGATTGGGTCTCCGGTAACCTCAGTCACACGGCGAAACACAACGCTTTGGTTGTTTCACGCCAGTTTTCTGTAAGGCCGTGGTATCACGACAGTCGAGCCGACTCATTGGGTTAACAAAATCATAAATGAGATGGTCAGAAACGCGGTAAGGTACAGGCTGGCAGAGCGACCCCTCTCCCTCGTGTCCAAGTCAAAAATAACGCCCAATTCAATCCAATACTTCCAATGTCAAAACGTATGACAGCTGACAACTATCAAAGATGACTCATCCGGTACCGACCATACCCAAGCAGCTGCTTGACGTTTCCGAAGATAGCGTTATTCTGAACTATAGCGATGTGCTTCTTTGGTGGTTCTGTGACATATGTATGTATAGAAATAACTAGCTAGTCTCGCGCGGTTTCACCCGCTGCTCGGCTCCATTTAATGGTAGCGTGATGTTTTATAGTCTATAGCACTCAGGAACATTGTAGCTATCTATCAGTCAAAGAATTTTGGCAATCCGACCACCGGTTCCAAAGATTACCCCCTACATACAAACTTACAAATTTTACCTCTTTGTGATATTAGTATAGATAACCAGAACTAATCAAATTAACATAAGTAGGACAACCGCATTTATCATAGTAAAGTATTTACTATAGTTCGTTCCATAATTAGAGACAACGATTTGACATGTCGAGTGTTGCAAGTTTTTTCCATTTCATAGATAGTGAAATCCCGCGACCGGTATTGACCGAAAGACCGAAATTAAATTCTGGACTTCGTGCATTTTAAAAGCTTTATTATTTTTAGCTACTTTCCCTGGTACCTTCCTGTGCCCATACTAACTCAGTCGGATTAAAATCACAATGGTAAGGAGGCAAAAGTAAAATAGTGACCCCCCTTTTAGCAGCCATAAGTCCACGACGTATCATTCATAATTACTTTTCTCTTACCGGGAAATCTCCAACAGCTCGGCTTTCAGCATAGGTTCCTCAAATACAATGTTTTTCTTTTAGCCAGTCTTGGATTTCGCATTTTTATTTTAAATTATTATTAATTCGACTAAAAAACATCACCGCAACGTTGTTTTATTTTGCTCAGGGTATTTAAAAAAAACGGTATCGGTATTTTATTTAAAACATCGTACTCGGGCCCATCACTATGTTGACAAATCTGGCCACATTATTTTGTAGTTTGACATTTGCTGTTGTCAAATTGTTGTCTCTAATTATGGAACGAACTATAAGTAAAATTTGAAAATATTATAACAATTATTCTTTTGTTACAGAGAAGACATGGAGAAAGTGAATATAAAGTTTCACGAGAATGACACGGTGACATACCAACACAACAAGATACTCCGCTTCGTGCCCGAGATGTCGGTAGACAAAAACCAGAAACTAGTTGTGCCCAATATCCCTTTATTGGTAAGTATCAAACGAGCAGACGGACTACCTGATGGTAAGCAATCGGCTCCGCCCATGGACACCCGTAACAACAAAAGAGTTACGAGTACGTTTCCGTCCTTTTGGGGATTAGGGTTTGGAAATTTTGGGATTAGGGGAGGGGAAAGAATCTCGAGGATCTTTGGGGATAAGGCGTTTTGGAAATTTTGGGATTGGGGTAGGGGAAAAGATTTGGCCTCCGGTAACCACACACCCTCTGTCTCACTCGTTGGTTTCGAAGAATTTTTTTTTTTGGCAAACTAGTATACGGATTACCTGATGGTAAGCAATCAACGTCTCCCATGGACTCGTAATATCAAAGGCGTTACTACAAGTGCGTTTCCACTTGCGAAACACCATGAGTATTGCTTCATGTCGGTTTTCATTGAGGCCGTGTCATGGTTCTCCCACCACTTCGAAGACCAGACCAAGAACTCTATTATTAACGTATTTCTTTCCATTTCTAGACAGTGACCTCCTTCTCCCCGAACCTTGGAAGCTGGGTGTTTAACCTGCTGGTGTCTGGTCTCGCCATCACGTACCGAGATAGGGCCAAACCATTCGTCCATGTTACTGCTGAAGAACTGGTTTTTGGGTGAGTTAAAATTAATATTGCTATTTGCAGACTTGTTTTTGCCAGTGGCTATGCCAACTTTACCATAGTAAAAAGTGATATGAGTATTTTCCGCTCACAAATGAAAAGATGGGCTCTAAGGGGCCAATGTCCAGCCGGGTTTGCAGATCAAGCCCAATTTGATACCGCAGCCTCGGCCTAGAGCAGGAGAAGGAACGGGGAGTTTTTAGCCAGTAAGAGATTCTGACACTTTCTCTCTCCTCACCCTGGACAAGACGTCATTTCATGATTTTCCTCTGCCAAAAAAAAAAAGTTTACTTCTTTCGATACTTTTGCTCTCGAAGCCTCTTCAACAAGCTATATTTTTTTTTTGTTCTAGATACAACGACCCTTTGGTGACCTTGGCCCATTACTTTTATCCCAAAGGAAAGAGACCGAACAGTCAAATGGGATTACTACTCGCGGTAAGTGCATTTCTTTTTGTTCCATCATCATCATCATCAAAAAGATTGCTTCGCTGCGGTCAGACGCAAGAGTGCAGGTTCCTTATGACACACCGTCCTTTGCGGAAGAGCCATGCTTAGAGGCTTTTCTCCTGCACAGAGCCCGTGTGAGACTTTATTAAAGTTCTACCAGATTGAGTATTTGAGCGACCCACCCAAATGTTCTTTTGATCGGTATTGTTCGTCGGGCAACTCAGCAGCAGTGAATTTAACTGGTTGTAAACTGACACTAACGTGCCTTTCTTCAGAGCGGGTCCACTCAAACTGGTGTGGTTCTTTCCTCAAAAGACCACTACAGAATGAACTTGTAGGATGCTCTCACGTTATAATTATTCTTTGTTACATTGTCTGGATTTGAAAGGGCACGGTCCTGTAAGTTTGTTTCGGCATTTCTTCTCAGAGTAGTCAGATAGGAAATGGCTATATAATTTTCACGACATGCTGTTTTATGGCCTATTTACAAATACAAATTTGTTGTTTCATTGTTTCACAGGAAATTCATTTACAATCATACAATTTCACATACACATCACACTCAAACCCGACACAACAATTTTAGATCACACAAAGAATTGTTCCGTGCGCGAATCGAAAGCGTTACTCAATGCGCAGGAGCATTCGTGCATCTAATTAACAGTTTTGTTGATTTTTTCTTTTTCGTTTTTCTCAGAGAAACGGAACTTTGGACGAAGTATCAACGATGTATACAGGACAGAAACAGCTGGACAGATTTGGATACATGGACAGAATAAACGGACTGGATCATCTCCCACATTGGAAGGACAGGCCATGCAACGACATACGGTAAGTCCAAAATACTATTCTTAAATTTTTTACAGTTTCTTCTGTTGATTTTGTAGCTCGTTGCGTCAAGTTTCTTTAAGGGAAGCATTCCAACAAATTAGTTCTACCGCCCTGGATGGGGTGAGAGGAAATGACAGACAGATTTCTAATTATAAGTTTGAAATCGCTAATCCGCCTTGAGCAAGCATGGTGATTTATGTTCAAACCTTCTCCGTGTGAAAAGTGGCCTTTGCTCAGCAGTGGGCACTTACAGGACAGAATTGCCTTTAAAACACTATATAAAGTGAAATGTATAATTATCTACAAATATGTAACGTTGCCAGTATCATTACAACCGCTTTAAGTGCTTGCAAAATTATTAAAATTGTCAACAGACATTTCTTAACAGTTTACAACATATTTTCCTTAAACCTTAACTTGTGAAACATACAAACATGTATACCAAACTCCCGCCTTTAGCCTCCTTTTTTGTGAGGGAAAATCATCAAATGACTTCTCCCGCCCAGTGATGGGGCGGGAGGGAGTGTCAGACTGTAGTTAACTGACTAAAACCCCCCCGTTCCTTCTCCTGCTCTGGGCCGTGGCCGCGGCGACTCTTTGCGCTTAACCCGCAACCTCGGCTGAGCCATTATACCCTGGTAAAGAAAAACTGTGAGAGACCTATGCTTGTAGTTTGTTTGTTCCTCGCTAATTGGAAGATTTGTCATTTGGCAAAGAATTGGAAGCAAGGCTCTCATTACTAATACATTTTAAACCGAAACCTCCAACTCTAGGATTCAAAGATATTTTAGAGGTGGTAGGGTGACCAACGAGCCGACAGGTCACCTGATGGTAAGCTATCGATTCCGGTCATGAACAACCGCCACGTCAGAGGAGATACAAGTTCTTTATCGGTCTTTTGAAGACTGTAAGGGATTAAAAAAGTGTTCTGCATGCATTGGACGCGGCGGCCGTAGTATCACTCCGGTCGAGCCAGCCGATTCGTTGTCAAAGCATGGCTTTCCCAGATAATAGTAATCAATATAAAAATAAAAATGGATATTCTATCTGTGGACCATATGGACAGGACTTGTTTTTGATTTAAGCCCGAGTATTTTAAGTTTTTATTTTCGTTTTCTTTTTTTTTCCTGTTTTATTTTCCTAATTATCTTCGCTTTCTATATTAATGTTTTGTGGTAGTTCTTAAGCTCATGTGTGTTCTGCGCGAAAATAAATAGATTTTCTTTCTTTCTTTCTTTCTCCCACACATAGAAGTGGCCTAAGGTGCAGTATTAAAATGAGAACGGAATGTTGATATGAGATTACATTTGTCGTTATCTTTTTATCATACACTTATGAAATATAATAATAATAGGAAGATGATACTGTCCTTTTCAAGTGCATAAGTAGGTACTTCAAAGTAATTAGTTCTTTATAACATAATATATAAACATGCCCTGACTTAGTCGGCGACGCACTTATGATTCCTCTGGTGTAGTTAGACCATGGAGTCCGCTTACCTCCAGATGAACTATAAACTTCGTCCTCCAGCTAACCTCTGTCTGTTCATGGGCCGACTTTTATTTATCACAAAATACAACTATTATTACAGGGCAACCTAATGCAATGGTGTATCGACAATTTTATAGGTACCTACTTAATCTAAACTGCCAGTGTGCCCAGGAATTGCACGATTTGATTGCGCCATCCCAATTTCACCTTCGGACATCCCGGCGTACGGCGAATATCCACTCTCACATTGTTGAGACACCTACGGCCCGGACTAAACGTTTTGTCTCGTCATTTATACCTACCGCGTACATTGAGGGATTGGAACAGTTTGCCGGCTGCAGTCTTTCCGTCCGAATACTATATAAACTAGTGCGCCTTACCATCAATGATTGCATCACAGCTTACCATCAGGTGGGATCGCAGGCAAGCACTAGTTTATTGCAAGTAAAAAAAAAACTACTCTACACACTTATCCGTCTTATTGCTTACCATCAGGTAAATCCGTCTGCTCGTATATCCCTTATAATAATAAAACCTTAATAAACCGGAGCGATTTCACAGCCACACAGAAAACCGGCGTGAAACAACCACAGCGTTGTGTTTCACCGTGTGAGTGAGGTCACCGGAGGCTCAATCCTTCCCATCTTAAAATCCTAAAATCTCCAAATCCGTCATTCTCAATCGGCAACGCACTTGTAACTCTTCTGTTATTGCAAGTGTCCATGGGCGGAGCAGATTGCTTACCATCAGGTAATCCGTCTGCTCGTTGGCCGTGTCACATAAAAAAAGTTACCTTACTAAATTCTTTATCCCTCATTCGACTTTCAACTTTACAACGAAAGAGAATAAAGTTAAAAATCGTTAAAAAAGAATGCATCAGAACCGATACCTTTGTCAATATTCGATCAGTCAGTCAGTCAGTCAATATTTGAAATATGGTTCATGAAAATCAATAAGTACAATTATTAAGGTTCTTACCCGACTACGGCGAAACAAAAAGAAGGGGCAAATATAATTTTACTTTGAAATCCTCTAAAGAATATACAGACCTACATAATTGTAGTTAGGTCCATTGTTTATCTTCAAGGAATGAAATATAAATTAAAAAGTTAAAAAACCCTTGATAAAAAACCTAATATTTCTTTAAAGAGTAATAATTAAAAAAAACGTGGTGTTGGGGGACCGATCCAAGTATTTTATTATCTACTACATATTTCTATTTTGTCGGCGGTCTAATTTATTTTATACTTTTTATATCATTTTCTCTCGATTGAGTCATCAACAATCCCTTTCAGTGCGCTTTCATTTGACACCCCACTCGACTATATTTGCAGACCTTCGGTTACCCTTCCCCACTTATCCCCCATAACTTCTAAACGGCTCAACCGATTTCCGTCAATCATGTCTAAGAACACTCGCACGTAAGTCACCTTTAATACAAAAAAAACTAAATTGAAACCGCTTCATCCGTTCAGGCGCCAGGATGCCACAGACAGACAGACAGGCAGACAGACACGTCAAAGTTATAACACCCCTCTTTTCCCGTCGGGGGTTAAAAACCGTTCAAGAACGTTTCAGGCTATTCTCAGTGTAGGATTCTGTAGTTTCCCGTCTGTCACAATTACCATCCCCACTTATTGTACTAAATCTTAAAACCTCAATTTCAGCGTGAGAAACCAAAGTACAGCGCCATCTATTAGACAATTGGGTTACTAATTTATACAAACTAGACGGTGTATGTATGTTTTTTGTGGTAATTTTGGCTTGAGAAAATCGATTTTAATATTCTTTTTTATCTTTTTATTTTAACTTTCGTGAGATATTCTAAATTAATTATTATGTTTTCGGCTTGCTCACTTAATAATTTGACGAGATACTAAATCTAAAAGACTAAAAACTAATGTCAAACTAAAATATGCAAAATCATAATTCACATTTTTTAATTTATGTATAGGTACTTATATGACTAACAACAACTTTTATATAAATAATTACAATAAAAATATACCTAAAATGGCGTTTCAAAGCGCGAGATAAACTTTCCGATAAATTTCGAGGTCTAAGCTCACGTGTGGCTGAGAATTAAAAATATATATAACATTATACAAGCGAAGGTTAAGGTTACCACATGGTCATATAATCGGCAGTCATAATAATCAAAACTGGATTTGCTAAGGATTTATTACCCGACTACGGCAAAGCAAAAGGAGGATTATGATTTCGACAGGCTATGTATATATGTATGTTCATCTGTTCCCTGGTAACTTCTAAACTACTTATCAGAATTCGACAAATGATAGGCTATATGGGGTATCACAAAATCTAATGTGGCGTCCTCTAGAGGACGAAACAAAAAGGGCAAAAAAAATAAAGTTAACATAAATATGCCGTGTTTGGTATCATTTGAAAGCGCTTTATTTGTACATTTTGAATAAATATATATATTACTAGCGGTGCGCCCCCGCTTCGCACGGGTCCAACTATCTCGCTAACAAAGGGTCACTTTTTCCTAATCTTCCCCTCCACTTTTCTAATATTTTCTTTGATAAAAACGTTCTCCTGACAATAACAAACACAACAAAAAAAGAATTAGCAAAATTGGTCCAGGCGTTGTTGAGTTATGCGCTTACCAACACATTTTGCGATCCGTTTTTATATATAAGACTAGCATTTGCTTGTTTTGAAACTACATAATGACCTACATGTAACTCGGAAAAAGTCACATTGGTACTTGCCAGGTTTCGAACCTCCCAAATTTTTTTACCTTAACCTTAGCTTAGAGAATTAAGGCAACTAAATTCTATGCTATTATTAATATAACGGTTTCCAAGGCTGAATTATTACAAAAGTTATGTAATAAAACGGATATAACATAATATATGAATGCAAATATCAGTATCCTCCCACAGCGCATTCAATTTCCGTAAATACAACGAGGTCGTTGTCTTTTAGGATAATTTATTCAAATCTGATAATAGGTATGAAATATGAACATGGTAATTTAAAACTAAAAAACTTTATGTCGCAGAAATGCGCAAATTTAACCTACAATACAATTTTTACGCCACATAGTTTAAATAGACTTTCTAAGATTATTTAGACACCACTGAATACGATGAAGGAAAACATCGTGAGGAAACCTGAACAATCTGGCCATATACGATTCTAATTATAAGTTTGAAATCGGCAACCCACCTTGAGTAAGCGCTATGATTAATGCTTCATCCTTCTCCGTGTGAGAATGAGCACTTGCTTAGCAATGAGCACTTATAGGCTGATGATTATTTTTCCATTTTTTACAAGAACACTTTCAACCATAAGTCGGTTTGATAACGTTTGATTTGATTTGATTCAAACATCGATATGACGTTACTTCTAGGTACGATTTATATTTAGAAATGAGTTAGCTTTCTCCCATTCTTTAAATATGTTGTCATAACCCCCTCATTATGCATACTAGTTAGAGATCAAATCAAATCAAATCATCATTTATTCATTACATTTTGGGTAAATAATTATGATCATAGTATTAATGTTAGTACCACCAAAAACTGCCCTCACAGGCGTTTGAAATATTGTTAACTTAGGTCAATAAAGATAGAATAACAAAATAAATAGGTACGTCATAATATTGCATTCAAAATGTCAAAAATTATTAAAAATTAAACTTATAAATATTTACAAATTACTATCATTAAGGAAGTCGTTTACATTATAATAACATTTCTTGGATAATATTGCTTTAAAAACACTAACTTAGTGTTTAAAAACACTAACATTGAATTTTTTTATGTTGTTAGGGATTTTATTGTACAATTTTGGCGCCATACATAAAACACTTTCCCATCAGACTCGTAACTGCTGTGTGAAGACACAGCTTATTATTGTTGCGCCTATTTCGCGGCACAATATCACACAGTATAGATCGCTACATCGTAGTGTAATATACTTGGGAGAAGAGTCAATCCATGCCATTCGGTCTTCACCACACAGCTATCAAAAAGTATTAAAACTAACCAAACTTTTTCTTTTTTTCCAGTGCATCCGAAGGATCCTTCTTCCCACCTCGTTCAGTGACCAAATCTGACATAGTTCACGTGTATGACAAGGATTTATGCAGAATTCTACCTCTCCAGTACAGAAAAGATGTTTATAAAGATGGTGAGTACACATGTCCAGTCAACAAGGATGTAGCGTAGACTGTCCAGGCGACACACGTACTTAGGTATCGTCATGAGCTAATGTTCACATGTAAACAGCAGCTCATGTAGTGTAGATGTCCAGTCAACAAGGATTTAGCGAGGTTGACTGTTCAGGCGACACACGTACTTAGGTATCGTCATGAGCTAATGTTCACATGTAAACAGCAGCTCATGTAGTGTAGATGTCCAGTCAACAAGGATGTAGCGAGGTTGACTGTCCAGGCGACACACGTACTTAGGTATCGTCATGAGCTAATGTTCACATGTAAACAGCAGCTCATGTAGTGTAGATGTCCAGTCAACAAGGATGTAGCGAGGTTGACTGTCCAGGCGACACACGTACTTAGGTATCGTCATGAGCTAATGTTCACATGTAAACAGCAGCTCATGTAGTGTAGATGTCCAGTCAACAAGGATGTAGCGAGGTTGACTGTCCAGGCGACACACGTACTTAGGTATCGTCATGAGCTAATGTTCACATGTAAACAGCAGCTCATGTAGTGTAGATGTCCAGTCAACAAGGATTTAGCGAGGTTGACTGTTCAGGCGACACACGTACTTAGGTATCGTCATGAGCTAATGTTCACATGTAAACAGCAGCTCATGTAGTGTAGATGTCCAGTCAACAAGGATGTAGCGAGGTTGACTGTCCAGGCGACACACGTACTTAGGTATCGTCTTGAGCTAATGTTCACATGTAAACAGCAGCTCATGTAGTGTAGATGTCCAGTCAACAAGGATGTAGCGAGGTTGACTGTCCAGGCGACACACGTACTTAGGTATCGTCATGAGCTAATGTTCAAATGCAAACAGCAGCTCATCTAGTGTAGATGTCCAGTCAACAAGGATGTAGCGAGGTTGACTGTCCAGGCGACACACGTACTTAGGTATCGTCATGAGCTAATGTTCTTTTGCTACTTTCAGGCATCAAAGCTGGTCTTTACACCCCACCAGCGTCTACATTTGAGAGTGCTGATGTAAATCCGGATAACAAATGCTACTACCCGGGTGAGAAGTGTCCACCAAGAGGACTGCAGAATATCAGTCCCTGTCAATACAGTAAGTTGATAAATTAGAACAGCGCCATCTATGTTTTTTGTAGCGTATTAGCTGGTCGATAGCGCGAGTGCATTAGTCTACCTACAAACTATATTTGTAGGTAGTCTGATATAGCGTGTTCAATTGTTCTTCCTTTCTTTCAGACGCACCGGTATATCTTTCCTTCCCACATTTCTATGACGCTGACCCTGCTCTGCTGGAGCCTTTCGAGGGTTTAAAACCTAACAAGAAGAAACATGAAACTTATTTTATGATACAGCCTGTAAGTATTAATTTATCGTCATTTTTGTACTATTATCGGTGGCATCTAATCTTACTTAAGCCTGATGGTAAGCAGACAGACCTGCAAAACTTAAGGCTCTTCAGCAGATCACAAAATCGTGGCCGATCTTGTAAGAAACAGGCTCATTGTTACAAGATTTACTTAGAGCCTATCTGCCCGAAAAAAATGTCGCAAGTAAATAGGCATCTGGACTTAATGGCGCTTTTACAAGGTTTAAAGAGTCATCAGACGTCCAAATGGCTCTTGCTGACTAAAAACCAACCCGATCCTTCTCCTGCTCCGGGTCCATAATGGGTTTCTTAGTCAGTAAGAATCAGACACTCATTCTAGACTCATTCAGAAGTCATTTGACGATTTTCCTTCCTCTATGAAAAAAAACAACATATTCGCTAGTACATTCTAACTATAAGTATGACTTAAATTTTTTCCAGAAAATCGGAGTGCCAGTAGAAGGATTCGTTCGAGTCCAGCTTAACTTGAAAGTGGACCGTGCTCCGAATATCCCTATCAACAATATCAACAACTTCCCTGACACCATATTCCCTGTTATGTGGATTGAAGAGGTGAGTATTGTTGTATTACTTCATATTTGACTGGTTTTATTTGGTCGGCAAACGAGCAGACGGATTGCCTGATGGTAAGCAATCGGCGCCGCTAATGGACACACGTACACACCAGAGGATTTACAAAGGCGTTGCTGGTCTTCTCAAAGAGACTGGTTTAGGTTAAAGGCCAACATGAGGATATTAAAAAAGGCGATATTTCAACCCTGTTTTGAACTCTGATATGGGCTGCAGCCAACTGGCTAAAATAGCCGTTAAATCAATCAGCTCGCCCTTAGATTGCTGTACAATTTAGGTAAATAGCTGTATATTTGTGATGACGATTCGATTTCTGCGCATTTTACAGTTCTAACCTATCATTCTGGTAACAACTCGATTTCCATGACAACCCCTCACCCCTCAACTTTCGGCATGAATGAGAAATTAAGCCATTCAATCAAACGACTAGTCATTCAGGCGGTTGGTTTGATAGCTAATTCAATCCTTTGGCTGCCAAAGATAGAAATCGGAACTAATCCGATAATATGCACTCTTATTTGCTATAGTTACTTGAACTAGCTCCGCATAGTAACTTACCTATTCTCTAATTTGTACACAACAAAAGCACATGATTAACCTTCAAACCATCCAATTCCAGGGCATCCACGAGCTCTCAACACCGATCTGGCGATGGATCTACCTCGCCACAACCGTCGGGCCGGTCTTCGCGCCCATCATAACTGCATCGATGATCATATTCGGTTTCCTAACCCTGGCCGTCATCTTCATACGAGCCTACAAAAGCCTAGTCATAGGGCAAAATTCTTTGGAGATCATGGAGATTGGGAGGCAAACTATAAGACGGAGTTCAACGCTGATTATCAGCGGGTCTCATAAAATGATGCCTCACAGAGCTGAATCAGCTTATATTCCGTTGAATCAATGTGGGGATAAGGTTCAGGAACTAAGCTTTGTAAGAACGGATAGTAAAGAGTTTAAAAGTGTATTGAGGAGCGATTTCGTGAGATCTAGCTTTAGTGAAGCTGAAAGAGAATCGTTGATACGGTCTGATAATAGTTTTATTGTGTCAGAACATACGTTTAACCAGGATTAGAGGGTTTTAGGTTATGTTTCAACTGTCCCCGCCATCTTGTTTTGCAATTGTCAAATATTAAGTAAAATAAAAAAAACATTCCTTTTTTGAATCATGAATTTAATTGTCTCGATTATTTATGAATTGATATAAAGAATGAAAAAAGGTTTTATTATACTGTAATTTTCAGACTTCAAAAAACAAATTGGTTTTTTAACAAATTAGTTTTTTCAACTTTCCAGTGAATAAAATGCATGATACACGATTTTACTTATTATTTTTTATTGACAAATGCAAAGTTTGCGTTTTATATATTGATTATCAGGGTATTAAATAATATATAAATACGCTTACAGTGGAGGGACAGATTAACCAAGAAAGATATGGTACAAGACTAAAAAAACATATTTTTTTTTTCATATTAAAATTTTTAAGTTAGATAGAAATGATATTATTCTTTAAAAAAAAAACAAACATTTACATAAAATTCTTAGATATTTTTTAAAGTTTAGTCTGAATTACTTTTTGCGTTAACTAGAGGACGCCACTTTCGATTTACGTCCTGTAAGTACAATTGAATATGAAAACAAAAATGTCTTCGGAGTACTTAAATGTCACTGTACCATTATTTTTATCGGTTTTAGGCTATTTTATATATTAATAGGGTTGTGTCGACGACTGATTGTAAAAAAATCCGGATTTTAACGGATATTACCTTAGCTTATAATGGAATATTTGCTCACTTTTTTATTTTGTTCCTGTCTGTATTGTAATTAGTTAATTAACTGTCATTTTTCATTCATTATTTACGACATACGAATCGACTACCTACCTACTAAATTAATAGAACAAAACGATTAATTAAACATATAGTGTCAAAAAGAAAAAGCGCGCGTAAATAGTTTTTTTTTTTATTCTGTCAAAGTCCACCTAGTTGTTATTATATATTTTAATTGATTATTCGACTATCATTACGTATTTAAAAATTAGTTTTCCTAAGATGAAAAATAACTTATTATATGTAAGTATGCCTATTGTTACCGCAAATTTGTACATTAAATAAATATTACCATTTAATTGCAATACAGACGGAAACAAAATTAGTTCGTAATATTGGCCAAAATACTTCAAATCATTGCCTTGATAAAACTCTTAATTATACGTAATTAACTTGCCAATATAATTGGTCTTAGGCCTGTCAAATATATGAAACTTTTTTTTATATACAGGCTCAAAAGACAGGGGGCTTCGGTTTTTAGACAATGGTTGGAATATGGGCTTTTGAGATGTATTAAGCCTTTTATGTATGTTGTATTTATACGGAGCAGTAATGTCTTTTTTAAACATAAACTTAATTTTTGAAGATGTTATTGGTACGGTAAGGATTTTTATTTGACTTTCTAAAGTTTAAAGTTTAAAAACTTTTTGAAGTTGAAACTACCTTTACTGTCCAGCTAGAATATCAAATTTGCTAAATGTGAAGAAATGAGTTTTTATAAGTCATATTAAGCTTGTAAGTAATCAAAATATCTCGCCAAGCAGAAACACGAGTATGAGTAAATACGACATAAATTTGGAAAACAATTGCAAGTACTTACATCAGGTTAATTTGTTATATAAAATATGCTCCGTATAAATATGACGTCATTATGTAGATACATTCCATGATATTATTATTGACATTCCCTCCTAAGAAATGTGCTCAATTAATTAAAATAATAATTGAAATTTATTATACATATACTTAGACCAAGATCTATGTAAAATATTTGGAAACAAACCATAAGGGTAGACATACCGAGCTGATATTAACATTTCGTGCTTTCTTCCAATACGGATTGAGTAAGTGATTTTTTATTGGACGTTACATTTTTGACGTCACCTGTGATTGGACACAATAACCTCAAGCGCCATCTAGTGTTCAAAATAGTGTACTCAGTCCAGACTTTAAACTTATTTTCTTGTTCTTTTCTCTATCAGTTTTGAGTGATGAAAAAGTGATAGAAAAATAGTGCACTGCGTTTTTTTATAATTTGTAGAAATCTATCCTTTGTGGTGTGTTTACAAAAATTACACATCGATGTTGGTGTAGGGATTATTTAAATTCGTGCCTTCATTTTCTTGTTTTTCGTTCTATCTCTTGAAAATTTTAATATAAGTAACTATTTCATATTATTTATGAACACGAACGAACAAATTGTATTACAATGTACGTATTTTATTAATATTCTTAATGAGATTAATGTTTAAATGGTATAATATCTTGGTTTTATAAGACTATGATCAATTTATGTGATGTAAAAATAGGGACCATAACCAATTCTTCTACGACTTTTAAACTATTTAAACATTACTAAATTTAATGTATTTTTTTAAACTATTTAGTCGATTTTTGTATATTTAGTCGATTATTTAGTGAACTATTCCAACCAAACTATACTTAATTAGTTTTTAGTGAAGCTTTAAATGTACGAAGACTTTTTCTTACTATTTTTGATAGAAATTATTATTTTTTACTATAAAAAAGGAAAAACGGTGGTCTATAGTTAATTTTATACGAAACTAGATGGTAATGTTGTAAATAATAGTTTTAGTAATTTTGTATCTAAATGTATTGTTTAATAAAAATATTGTAAAGAGTGATTCTGGTTTTATTCTATCCCGTTGGAATATCGAAAGTTTTATTTTAGCTTTGAATTTAAAGATTGTTTATCCAAACCATTTTGCAAGTACTATTAAAACGTAGTACGTCAGAAAATCTAGGTGCTCGTTCCAAATATAAATTTGAATTCGATTTTATCGAATGGAAAACAAAAGAAGCAGAAAATAAATCACTTATTTCGGTAGTATGCGACATAATATTTTCTTGTTTCTTCTTATTGCTAAAAATATAAATACATACACACATAAACCATAGTAACAAAAAAAAACATGTTGGGGCGGAAAACTAGGATTACAATTACCTGTACCTGCTCGTTCCGGCCTGAAGTAGGTAGTAGAAAAAACAGGGTGGTGTTTAGTCAGTAAGAGTATAGTGTAAAGAGAAGGGAAGTAGGTTATCTTCATACAAACGCACCGTGTGTTTGGGTGTTTTAACAATATGGTCCTTTATGTGTAAAAATACTACATTCTGCCTAAACAAAAATACAATGAGAAAATAATGTTAACACTAGATCTTAGTCTATGTTACCGCCTTTGCCATCTAGCGACATAAAGAGTCACACCTCACAAACCCGGTTCCCAGACAATACAAGTAAAAATACAACTTCCCGACCCTTGCCAATTTATAGACACTGCACTAAAATTTTGCTAAAAGTGACAACCCTAAAACATTAGGCAATTATATCGCGGATTGGGCTGGAGATAGCCTACTGCCTCTCTTTATACTATGGTAAGAGTCTTTAACTCCCTCTCGCTCCGCCCAAGGCCCAGGACGACAGAAGTCGTTAATAATCCCCCCTCCCCCCCCAAGGGTCTTATACTGCGATCCACGTGCGAGATATGGAGATCTCTCTGGTTTAAAATGGTTATAACTTGACACTACCGTGCCTTTCCTCAGATCAAGCCCACTTAAACCGTTGTGGTTATTTCCTCAAAAGACCACTACGGAATGAACTTGCACGGTTCTCACACATTATTTTTCATATTGTCTAGACTTGAAAAGAGACGGACCTCTGAATTTGTTTCGGCATTTCTTCTCAGAGCAGTCAGATAGGAAATGCCGGCTTCATCTAATTTTTTACATGTACTTTTGACGTATAAAAGTGCTGTTTCATGAACTATTTACAAAAATAAATTCATTGTTTCTCTTGAAGGTTCATTGTCTAGCATTTCTTGTTTATACGGCAAGCCAGCAGATGAGTCACCATGTGGCAAATGCATTTTCGGAGTTTTGTAAATGATTTTTAGGTGTCGAACTGGAGCATGGCTCCCACAACTAAGATGATAGATAATGATTATTTATTGGACACCACCACTTACTACTTCTGAGAAAAGCTCTACTAGTTTCAAATCACAGTAGGACTCTTATTCATGAACAGCGTGCGCATCATGGTGAAGTCGCGCAGTCAACGTCATCAAATCATCCCGAGCGTACGGCGCGTAGCGTTCCGCGCGCGCCTCAAAGAGCCAATAGACTACCACAGACGGGGCCCTAAAGGGCTGATGTCGCAATGAGGCACCGCGGCCTCGGCCCAGAGCAGAAGGAACAGGGGGGGTTTTAGTCAGAAAGACACTCCCTCCCGGGAGAAGTAATTTGATGATTTTCCCCTCACAAAAAAAAACGTCATCAAATCATGAATAGGAGACCGGTTGTGACTTCTTAAAACTAGTAGACCTTTACTCAGTTCATTCAAATGAGTAAGTCATTATTTACAACTAAAATAGTATGTCTCCCGTGAGATACTATAAAATATACTGATTATGATTATGTATTTTTATTTTAACTTTATTTTATTGTTCGTTTTGTGTCTTTTATGCGTCCCAGACGCGAATAAATACTTTTTCTTTCTTTCTTTCTTTCTATTTTTATGATAAGGACAAAAATGAAACACCAAAAAAATCAGCCTAAAAATTATTTTATTGACTAGCAAAAATTATGCCGTACCGTAATGTATAACATTGAAGTTATCCTTATAACTAGCAAGCGCGTATAACTATTGTATACTAAGTCTGGACTTGACTATAAAGTACGTCTGGAACGCGATCACTTAGTACACCGTTGGGCCAACGTGTGTGGAGACATTTGGACTATTTTCTGACAAGAAAAGTATGATTTTGGACGTAGGAAGACTGTTTTTGGAGTAGTTTATTTTGGACTGTTTATCCCTTACTTTACAGTGAATCTGAGTGAATAGAATCCGAGGGGGAAACAGATACAAGAAAAAAATTCGCCAACAACTATTCACCCCTTATGTTTTCATCCCGTTTTACAGAACGCAAATATGAATCTTAAAGAATTAAAAGGTTATAAGTGATGTTTTATGAATACAGTTTTTAAAACAGATGTTTCAAGGCAGGCCTAAAAATTTCCTTACGTTTTTTTTTAAATTTAACAGCGCGATATCGTATAGTTAATGTATAATGACTGTAACTTCGAAAAGGATTGAAACGTCACATTTTAACAAAAATAATATACAGGTTTCCTCTAAATTTTAAATCTGTGAAGATGGTTTTATTAAGTCTAGTTGACTTAAATATGTAATTACTTGAAAGTATATAACTTTTATCATCAAACTATCCTGTATCAAGATGTTAATAAGAAAAAAAAACGTAAGAATATTTTAAAACCCGCGCTTTTTTGAAGCATTCGACTTTTTTTTACATTTAAGTAAACTAAATTGTAGATTGTACTTTATTTCTCTTTTATCAGCATTATATTTTATATTTACTACGTTGTGACTAGATCACATTGCTGTTTAGAATTCATATTGAGATTATAAACAACTATGCAACCTAGTCTAAACTTTACAAAAATCTACGCTATTTCAGATAATACATAGCATATTATGAAACTCAAAAAATTTACTAGTAATGTGTTTTCTTGTCAAAAAATCGTCCAATTTTCTTAACAATTTCACCAAATTTTTGACCCCACACAGGCCAACGGACTTAGAAACGGGCGATTCCAAGCCGTTACATTTTAAAAATACATATTATATAACACTACGCAATGTATAAGTAGATGTATATTATGTGCTAAGACATAGTAATAATAATAATATTATCATAAAAAAATCTTATTTTTTTTAATCTTCACTTTTCCATTTTACGTATATTCGTTACTTTTCGTATAACAGAGTCACATCACTGCTGTTTTTTTTTTCGAAATTAAATGGAGTCTTGGAATTCATTTTCGAATTTTAAACTGGTTGAAATCTCCAGGTATTTTTTTTACTATAATTTTTTCAGAACCACAATCCTTTATATCTCGAATAACATAATTCGCCAAAAAAAGTCTGTGTATTAACATCAATGGTCCAAAATACAAAAAAGAGAACTTGAAATACAATTTTGTTCAATACACGACGGTAATGTTTGGACATAAAAAAATAACCCTTCTATAGTATAAAAATTAATCGATAAAATGTGTTGCGAATCGCAAATCTTGAAAATGACTGAACTGTTTAAGCTGTTTTTGTTATTGTCAGAAGAATTTTTCCAGAAAATGGTGACACTTTCCTCTTTTGTTTTTAGCGAAGTAGTTAGGTAGTTTATTTATGCAAAGCAGGAGCAGGCTGCTGGTATAATAATAATTACACAGTTATGTTAAAAAGATATCCAAAACTCCACCTAATCCATTCGATCCATAAGATAAAAATATCGTATTAATACAACGACAGTCTTTTACAACAAAAATTAACAATTTCAAGAAAATATCACTGTAGCGTTGTTTTTATTTATTACCTATTTATTTATAAGGAAGACATTTTATTTGTTTAATATTAGAAATACTGGCAAAATACACGAATTTTTTAATATTTTTTAAAATACTGTGTACAAATTATTATTTTTTGTAAGTAATGGCTGTTGGAGCCTACAGTCAAGAACTACAAATACAAGTAACCTTATTGGCATTGCTGATCTTCTATTTTTGATTATAGGCCCCAATCAAAGCTTGTAAAAAGTCGAACATTCTCGAAGACTGGCGAAAGTAAGGGTGAATTACCATAAACATGTTTGATAATAATACTTTTTAAATATTCTATACACCTACAGTAATACTCTCTAAAAAACATTTGGAAGTCCATTTTCATTAATAATACTAAACAAAAAAAAATTAAAAAGAAGTCGTTAATACGATATTTTTAATCTACATACCATAGATTTTCTCGCCAATGATTTACATCTAAATAGAGATGTGAAAGGAATAATCGACTAAGTTTTTGAATAAATGACTAATAATAGAATCGAGACACTGGCAATTTGATTTTTATGTATGATGAGTATTTTGGAAGCACATATATATGAATATATTAAAGATTAAGGGATAGATATTACATAATGTTCCGTATTACTTGTTTCAACAAACGTTTATGTGACTTAGTGTAAGTAAATATAAATTAATTTCATACAATAATATTTCGCAGCTCAATTTTCATTGAGTTTAGTATTGATTTACAAACCGATTGAATCTTGAACTGGTACTGCTTTTTAATTTAAATTCTATTATACCTGTTGGCATACAGCTGTCAAACTTTAGTGACGTGAGTACTAGCGAATTTAGTCGATTATTTCTCCAACATCTGTTGACTAAATTTTAAGTGTCAAATACGATTTTTTAATACTTTTTTTGCGTATACAATTTTGGATTGAACGTTAAGTTTTTGAATTACTATATTTTAAGGGAATCGTATAGTTTACAATCGTATATTCGTTTTTTTAATACTTACAAACTAATTTAGTTGGCATGGAGACATCGGTTACAATATCACGGCAAAGTATTTTTTTCTGTCTTATTTCCTTACCATATTTACATAAAAATAATGGTCACTGTAATTAAACTAACTTACAAATAAAACACTAGCATAGATAATAATATTTCTTATCCATCTTTATACAAAAATAAACATAAACACAGCTTAAGTGTACACAATGTACTTTTTACACAAAAAAAAATATTTTTTCTTTTTCAATGTTGCTCATACCGATTCTCCACTACCAACCAAACAAAACTAACTCTAATATGGCTGTGTAAGTAAATTAAAAGGAAAAATAACAATGAGTATATTTCAAAACTAATTACTTTTTTATAAATAAATAGATACGATATTTCAGTGGACGGTTTATTCTAGTGTTTGAATGTAAAAAATATCCTTAAGTCTCTATTTCTTGCGTCAGTCGGTCAAAAATCGGGGAAGAAAATAAATCGAAGAACTGTGTTAATTCACAACCGGTATTTAAATTGACAAAACGCTGAACTAAATCACCTCTTTGAGGGTTTCGGGAGCCGAAAAGTCGTAACTGAAGCTATGAACGTTCTTGGTAAAATCGCTTTTGTTATAATTAAAATATGGTACAAAATTATTAGCGATTATTGAGTAAAATAGTTAAATATCTAGGAGGCGACGTTTTTATTAATTATAATACATTAGTTTTTATGTTTAGCGACAAAAGCGGGTTTGCCAAAAACGATGGAGTTCTCCAAAGATGGTCGTTTTACCTACCTATAGTTTGATAAAGTAATTTCATATTTACCTATTTCATTTAACGTCACGCAGATGCCTAAAGTCGCCGGTTTTTCTCGGTGATTTAGTAATTTTTTTCAATAAATCTTTATAATTTATAAATATTATTAAAAAACCATTCACTTGATAGTTTTGTCTGAATGCAGCGGTCATTTAAGAACATCATTTTCACCAATTAAGGAAAATTATGAATCCGATTTAGAAGCAACCCTAAATACCAACCTCAGTAATTCTACCAGGCACTGTCATTCCAAACTATATATAATCTATATCTGTACCAAAGTTCATACAAATCTGTTCAGTAGTTTTTACGTGAAAGAGTAACAAACATCCGTCCATACATTTAAACGTTTTTGTAAGATAACTATAGAAATCAGACAAAAAGACCATCTTTGATTAATTTTCCTTATTTTTGTCGATATAATGAAATAGATTTTTTTGTTTACAATAGTTGAGGTATAAATTACGTATACAAAGTTCTAGTTTTACATATTTCTTGGTAACAGTGTGTCTTTCTTAATATTTTCTTTGTTTATAGGACAGGGCGGGAGACGATTTGTCTGGTCACCTGATGGTAAGCAAACGGCTGGGCCTTTATATCTCTTCAACACTATAGGAGTTGGAAGAGAGTTACCGGTTACCTTTGGAAGGTTTAGGTTGGGGATTGACAAGCCCTTTTAGAGCGCAACTGTAGCAATTGAGTTGTCTCTTAGTTTGCTGAAGCCAGTGACTAAGCGTGAGATCTGTTTGTTCAATAGAAAATAAGCTAGAGTAAAATCATCGTGGATATTAAACTTTTTGACTGCTACAATTTTAAGGGAAAGCTACCATTATTAGACAAATGACAAATGCCTAATGAACGAAAGTTATAGACCGCACTATTAGAAGATTTTGAAAGAATAAAACAGATTTATTTACCTTACTTATAGGAGCCATTTCTTTTATATTTTAGGGGAAGGACTCAGACATCTAGACTGATTATCTGATGGTAAGCAATCAGCACTGTAACAAGTGGTTTGCCGGCCTTTTGGGTGTAAGTGATTAAAGGATTGTATGATTAAGTATTGGACAGGGAGGATTGGAGTTACATTACTCATTATTGTTCTCAATTAAAAAATGAATTCAACGCATTTTCTGATACTCTTAGCAAAAATACTACAGTAAAAAAATACTATTTAGTCGATTTGTAACAATACATTGGAAGCACATTTGAGACGATACTAAGTAAATCTTAAGCAACATCTAAAGAATTCATTAAAAAAAACTATTTTTCAATGAATAAGAGTACCAGAAAGCAATATTTATCCCACCATTTTATTTTCTAAACAAGTACTTCGATTTAAATTGACCGTTTTCAATAATCGTATACAAATAATTAATTGTATGTGTATAAATCGTATTTCAGTTTTCGTATACAAAATCATGATATTTAAGTATTGTTTAGAGATATGAAAGCTCGTAAAGCTATACTCTGAAAGAATTATACTTGGAAGCAAAGATATATAGTGAGGAAAACGAACAGACGGATCGCCTGATGGTAAGCAATCAGCGCCGCTCATAGCAAGTTTCTTGAAGAGGCAACCTCACTCATACTGGAAAGAACAACGATGACGTTGTTTCACAAAAGTTTTCTGTAAGGCTACCTAAGTACTACTCCAGTCAAGGCATGACTTGAAAAATTCTTTGAAATTATAGTTTTATTTACTTTCATAATAAATGTCGTATACAATATTAATACAAATTATAATAGTCTCAACACACTGTTACCAGAAATATGACTTCTATTCTACGCTTAAATTAACGGTATACTGTCAATATATTTTATATTATTATGTCTTTTTTTATTAATTTTTATATATAAATAAATGAATTTCATTGTGACATGGCGTTCGTCATGAAAAGATAATTTTTACTTTTAAAATTAATACGTATACATTTGAATCATCGTAAATGGTAATCGACTAACTCGATTTTGAAATTTTCCAATCGACTATGCGTGTTTTAGGAACGGGTACGTCACTAGTTCTGTCATCTGACGTCAATGTCAAAATGTTTCCCGCGTAAAGTTTATTAAATTTATTGTTTTAATCCTCAGAATACTTTTTAGGTCAAATAACTCAGAAAACTTAAACAAACTTACATGAAAAAGTGTTTTTTGTTTACAAATAGCATTCAACAAACTTTTATTTCAATCAAATTTATAACAAAATAAATTTTGCTCATAAATAATATAACAATTTTGTTTGACCAAGAAGATTATTAATTTGGTCTAAATCTTTAAAAGCGGTCTTAGACAGGTGTGAGTTCAATAAACATTGGGTGAAGTTAAAATTTCTGTAACATACTCATTCCTAAAACTGGTCGCTACCTGATTAGTGCATTGGTTGCTGTATGGGGTAGCTGGTATGCTCTGGCTGCTCGCTCGTCGAGTCCTGCTCGTCTCCTGACGGATCGCCTTCCTGATCCTCGTCTTCTGATGACGAGAGGAGACCTGGAGATGAGATGGGCGAGTGTTATGCATGTTCCAAATATCTAATCGACTGCCTCTTCTCGCGGTGTCGGAGGTTCGTATACCAAAAGAAAAGACTCTTAGTGTGATTTACAAATTGATGTTCCGGGTTTGGGTGTCAGGATGTGAAATTGTATGTTTGTAAACACAGTTATTACATAGGAGAAAAAGATTTTTTTTAAAAGCAAAACAATATTATTACCTAATACAATTCGTAATAAATAATAAATTCAAAACTATGTTTAGGTCATTTTAAAAAGTATCTTTAATATTTTAATTATCCTTTTTTCTAATTCATTTTTATGTCTTAGCTATCAGAATCCGCCTTGGTTAAGGGGTGTACTACTTACAGGATAGTCACAAAGAATCCTTTTCATTACCTATATTATGACTTATTCATGAATGAGAGTCCCATTGTGTCTTGAAAGTAGTAGAGCTTTTCTCAGTTAACTCACAAGAGTAAGTTGTTATCTTAAAAAAATTGTGTCACATGTTTGTCCGCAATGGACTCCTAAACTACTAAACCGATTTTAAATTTGATTTGCATTCCGTGTGCATTTTGATCCAACTTGAAAGATAGGATAGCTTTAATCAATTTATAGTCACAATATTATTTACCTTAGCCACAGCAATATGTGGCTGCGTCTGCTAGTTTACAATAAATTTAGTGTGTCCTATGATAATTGGGTAGTTTCCTAGGTCAAAAATAAATTATTTCGACGTTTCAATACAATAACATATTGAAAAATAACTATACTTTTATTCATCAATCGATCGATATACTATTTTTTACATTTTATTTAGCTAATTAATAAGAAATAAGTTAGCTACTTGACGCAAAAAAGTTATGACGTCATAGCTCAGTTTTACATACAAATTTCATAGAAACATATCGTTTTTGACGTTTGGATAAAAGTATTGAATTTGACTAGTTGGAAACTACCGTATTACTATCCAAAAAAGAGTACCAATGTCTCTTTTTCCTTTTCTTAAATGTATTTAAGTTTCATTGTTTGTGAGATCACTGGAGGCCAAATATTCACCTTTTTCCTGATCCCCAAACCTTTAACATAGTCTTACTCCTCGGTGTTTTAGATGCCTATTGGCTTTGGATTGAAGGATTGCTTACCTTCAATGGTCATCCTACTCATTTGCCAATGTGAAACAAAGATAGAGACAAAAAATTTCCCATTTATGATAGAGATAGAGATAACTAACCAGCTGTAAACTGTGGATTGGAGAGCGCGTCAGGCCAGTACCTCTTGCTGATTGAAGACCCATTCTTACCTTTCTTGCCTCCTGGAACAGTGAAAAGTGGAGTAAGTATACAAGTGTGGGAGAGCCATGCTTCGGCACGAATGGGTCGGCTCGACCGGAGCGATACCAAGGCCTCACAGAAAACCGATGGTGCCACATTCTTGACCATTAATCGCCACGCTTGCTGAAGGCGATTACAAACTTACAATTAGAATTTCCTTACGATATTTCCCTTCACAGTATGCCAGTGTTGTCTTAATCTATACTAAATTTATACAGAGGTAAAATTTGTAAGTTTTTATGTAGGGGGTAATCTTCGGAACCGCTGGTCGGATTGCCAAAATTCTTTCACTGATAGATAGCTACAATGTTCCCGAGTGCTGTAGGTTATAAAATATCACGCTAAGATCAAATGGAGCCCAGTAGCGGGTGAAACCGCGCGAAAATAGCTAGTAATCATAGAAAGCACATAATAACTCCTTCGAACCAGCACCCTCATGCATGGAATGCGGTCGCTTTTACATCCGGGTCACCATGACGGCACTTATAGGCTGATGATGATGATGATGATGATGATGATGATGAATAGACTCACCAGGTTTATCAGCACAGTCCAACATGGGCTGCAGGATCCTGCGGCGCGCGTTAATGAACCAGTTGTTCACTTGCAGCAGCGTAAGTCGCGTCTGCGCCGCTAGAGTGCGCTTTTCTTCTTCTGTCGGGTATGGGTGCTGGGGAGATTTGGTAATGAATTACATATTATACATTATTTTAGATTAATATAAAAAATAGATTTTATTAGTTAAGTAATAAAATCTGTTTTATTATTTTTTATTGATTTTATTACTTAAGTAATAAAATCTATTTTTTATTTCACTTAAACAAGTGTGATTCTTTCCTCAAAAGACCACTATAGAATGAGCTAACACGGTTCTCTCACATTATTTTTTTTACATTGTCTGGACTTGAAAAGAGACTGACCTCTGAGTTTGTTTCGGCATTTCTTCTCAGACTAGTCAGAAAGGAAGTGCGAGCTTCATCTAGTTTTTTACATATAAATTTGACGTGTAAAAGTGCTGTTTTATGGTAGGTATATTTGTAAAAAGAATTCATTGTTTTATTACATTAGTGTACTGCGGCTTCGGCCTGGAGTAGGAGAAGGAAAGGGGTGGTTTTTAGTCAATAAGAGTAGTAAGAGTCTGAGAGGGGAGAAGACTATTGATGATATTTCCCCCCACAAAAATAAAATGATATGAGTATACTCACAACAAGATGCTGGAACAGCCACGCCCTCATGACTTGCGTGGCGTGTCGCGGCAATACCCCCCGCTTCCCTCCTTCATCGGTGCACTCCTCCTCGGGAGGGGGAGAGCCGGACACGGAGGAACATGAGTTATTGGAATTCGTGCCTGTAACGTGAAATTTTCAAAATATATTAAGCTGTGTTTCAGCGCACTCAGAAAAATTGTAAAATAATTTTGGCAATCCGACTACCGGTTCCAAAGATTACCCCCTACATACAAACTTACAAATTTTACCTCTTTATAATATAAGTATAGATATAGATATAAATTTTCCTCCTCAATCACTCTATCTATTAAAAAATTGCACCAAAATCCGTTGTGTACTTTTAAAGATTTAAGCGTACATAGGGATATAGGGACAGAGAAAGCGACTTTGTTTTATACTATGTAGTGATAAGATATCTTACCAGTGAATGAGTCAGTTGAGAGCAACCCCGCGCCTATCTGACTGATCGGCGTCGAACCTTGGACTACTAGTGACGCTGGAATTGAGAAAACAATATTATGACAAAATAACTTAACATACATTAGGTACTTACCTATGTCTAAAATTTTTAACAAAATTAAGCTATCAATTTTTAATAAATTATTTATAGTATAATTAAAACATGTCAGTCGCTAATGTTAGACGACGAAAATCAACTAAATGAACGTCACTAATATAATCTGTGGTCTCTGCTGCCGTGTTGACGCTGTCTTGGCTTAAAGGACTTGTATCCAGGCCATAAACTCCAAAAGTTAATTTGAATTGTTTTATTAACCTTATATATTTAAGAGTGTGGTGTTTTACTTAAAACTCAGTACTTCGATAAGTACCTGTTCAAAATTCAGTCTAAGTTGGTAAATTCTATACCTTAACTTTCACAACTTTCTGTTAAAATAATCAACGTGATTAGACGTAAATTCTATACAAAATTCTAAAGGCTAAGGCTTAATATTATTGTTGTTACAACTTACGTGTATCCCGCTGCGCCGGCGCATAAGGCAGGTCGGTGTGCGGCGGGTACACAGCCGGGAACGGAGCCGGCACCAGCGGGGCGGGGGGCGACTGAAACCAAAGAACATAAGTTACCATTAGAACAAAAGAAAGTTTTTACTGATATTTATTTATTGTAAAATACTTAAAATGTATACAATAAGCGATCTAATAAAATCAAAATCATTTATTCCAACTAAACCATAAACAGGTACCTACTTTTGAAACGTCAAAATAGAATAATAGTCTGTCATTCAGTTTATTATTTAAATATAGTTAGTCTGTCGGTCTGTTCGTCAATGACGCTAGGTACTCGTTTCAAAGTGTAGATTCGAATGGAGAAGAACAAGCAAGATACTTCAATATATAGATACTTATAATGATATTACCGTAGTATTTCTTTATTGAATAAAACAACTAATGCTTAGAAACACAGGGTTTATTAATATTAATTGTGTTTACACAGTCAGTCTACACAACTTTTTATTCTAACTCTCCCATAACGGGCCTGCTGGAAGAGATTTCTGAAGAAATAAGCTGTGCCTTTGTACCTAATTGTTGTATTATTTTTCTTGTCCAACTTACTGTGTGTACAAAAGTTATTAAATAAAAATAAATAAATATTAACTCTAATTAATAAATCTTAGGGCTGATTTTTCAATGGTTAGATAAAAGTTAACTGGGGAATAATTATGATGCCGTCGCGTCACAATGTTTGTATAAGACAGTGACAGCAACAATTTTATTCCTCAGATAACATTTATCTGATTATTGAAAAATCAGTGACGTTGCTTCCAGAACACGAGGGAATCCGCATAATGTTACTCAAGTACTCATTATGTTTTGGTAAATCCGTCTGTACTTAGTTAGTTACTCTGTCATTTCACAACGTCCGTACCTGTGTTACGTTTGGATACACACACAATATACCTACTACAAAAACATAAAGTAAAATTGTAGCTAATTGTAGTAATAAAAACAACTATTGTAGAAAATAAGCCTGACATGATAATCGATGTTGCCATTGCTCATGACAAGAACCTCGTGAAAGCTGAGAAAGATAAACAATTGAAATATCTTGACTTAGCTCACGAGGTTGTTGACATGTGGAGTGTGGACTCGGCTATCGTTGTGCCGATAGTTGTGTCGGCAAATGGGTTAGTCCACTCCGACTTTGAAGGAAAGCGAGGTTGTGTTTTGCGAATCACTGGATTCCATGTCGACGACAATTTAAAGCCTACCAAGGTATTCAAATAATAATTTACCGCGTAAGTAAATATGTGTTGATTTTAATAAATATGTGAAAAACAAAATTATTAAGTACAACAATATACAATAAATGTTGACATACATTTCATACCTGATATTGTGGCGAGTTGGACGTGCTCGAATGCTCGTCTATGGATCCGGATAAATTGTTGTTGCTCTCTACACCACCTGCAATCCAAAAAAAGGGTACGTTAATAATCGGTCGATGCATTTGAGCTCCGGCGTAGCTTGAAAGTTGACGAGTTACCACGTAAAAGGTTATATTTTACTTTTTAAATACAGATAAGGCTTTTAAATTGGCAAACTTCGGCTTCGGCATGAATGGGCCATGTGTTTCGTCGTGTGAGTGAGGTTACCGGAGGCCTTATCCTTCCCCTCCTCCATGACCTCCATCCGTCCTTATCACTAAATCTCCAAAAGTCAACGCACTCTTATCTCTTCTGGTATTGCGGGCGGCGCTAATTGCTTACCATCAGGTAAACCGTCTGCTCGTCTGCTCAACCTATCACATAAAAAACCCACCTGAAGAATAATCAGTCCGCAGCAGGTTCTCGCTCTGCATCTTAGTTTTGAGGCACGCTATGTACCTTCCGCAGAAGTCTCGACATAGTTCCTGCACCTTCTCCAGTTCCAGAAGGTGGATTCTTAGCACCTGGAATTGAGGAAGTTGGTTTTAATTTCAGTAAATGTTGTAAGTAATGGCTACAAGTTAGTTTTTTGGCCAATGATTGGCTGGTTCGAAGGATCCTCATTATCAGCCTATAAGTGTCCACTGCTGAGTAAAGGCCCCTTCTCACACCGATAAGGTTTGATCATTAACCACCACGCTTGCTCAAGACTAATTGGCGATTTCAAAGTTAAATATAATTGGAAATAATAAGTCCAGGTTTTCTTCACGATGTTTCACTTTGTCATTTTTCAATAACATACGTACATCATCAACCTAAGTGCCCTTTTTCCTATATATTTGCCTCAAAATACGTGCTTTAAAATCACTAACCTGGATGCTCTTAATCATAAGTCCGTCTATCTCCGGGTCGTCTACGAGGAAAGGCCTTCGGTCTCGCCTCTGGTGCTGCACGAAGGCCTGTAGGTCTGCGCCGAAGGCTTCAGCTGCTGGGGGCTCTGCCCCTGCTGTCGCTTGCTCACATCTCTCCAAGAGGAGTGCCAGTAGGGGAAATAGTGGATGTCTGGAAATATGAAAAAAACCTTTGTTTGGGATGTTTTCTAGTAGGAAAAAGTTACGTTCAAACGCTTTGAAACAGCGTGAGAGTATTTATTTTGGTCGTAGCGTGATATTTTTCTGCTTAATAATTATAGTCAATTCGTATAAACATATTTCCCGTACCTATTTTTCGCAGATTTTCCACTTGACCCAAAGGTTGACTGGTAGAGAATGCCATATGGCATTAAGTCCGCTTTTTGTACAAACTTCATTTCATTGTGTGCAATAAAGCATAAATAAATAAATATTTTGGTTCATTAATAGTAATTTAATAGACTATTCAACAAAGATATTTGTCCAGTTTAAACCAGTAGTTCTTGATATAAGAGCGATCAAACAAACAAAACTTTTTAGCTTTATATTATTTCCTTTCATTTTTACAAGCGAACCGCCCCGACTTTGCTTGGGTGCAATACTTCAATGTTAATAGTAAAAGGTACTATTTTATGACTCATTATACTTATTGATTAAGATTATATAATGAAAGGGCCATTATGACAGATTAGGTATCCCATCGATATTTTCTCCATGAACTTCGCATCATACAGACGCTCCCTACTTAAACAGTGTGAACAGTGCCCATCGTTATTGCTTTAACATGTTTTTTTTTATTATTAGCTTAGTTGTATAAATCTCAAAAACCTTTCATTTTTTATTGTCATGCACACCTGTAACTTGTACAATTGCTTGTGCATCCAATTACTATTTGATTATTGTGTTTTTTGTATAACATTGGGTGATTGTATTGTTGGTGTGCTTATTTTTAAATAAAATAAAATAAAAAATATGTATAAACCTTCCTCTTTATTCAGTCTATAGGTATCTATTGCAAGTCCAAAATATTCAATTACATTCTATTAAAAAACCGCACCAAAATCCGTTGCGTAGTTTTAAGGACTTAAGCATACATAGGGATATAGGGACAGAGAAAGCGACTTTGTTTATACTATGTATAATATTAACATCCATTAAATAGTGGAGAAATTTGGAACCTATCAGTATTGCACCCGGGCAAAGCCTTTGCGCGTCGCTAGTCTACAATGAAAATGCTGTAAGACTGTATAAACAAGTAAGATATTCCTATAATTATATGTATTGTTGATACGACTTAGTTTGAACAATATATTTGTCTAAACTAATATTATAAAGAGGTATTTGTAAGTTTAAGTTTGTATGTAGGGGGTAATCTTTGGAACCGCTGGTCGGATTGCCAAAATTCTTTCACTGATAGATAGCTAAATATTCCTGAGTGCTATAGGCTATAAAATATCACACTACGATCAAATGCAGCCGAGCAGCAGGTGAAACCGCGTGAGAATAGCTAGTATGTACTTAATATACGTACTTATAAACGGCTCTCTTGTCCGCTTCAAATTGTGCCTGGTCGGCGTCCGCGGCGGGCGCACCGCCGCCCTGCATCCCGCCAAGATCACCAGCTTGGCTACCTCATCTGCAACAATAGAAATAATCACATCAAAACACGCTTTCAAACGAACGAAACTTCATCCACATCGGTCCATCCGTTTAGGGAGTTGCGTCACAAACAAATTTTGAATGCACTGTTGACGCGGCGTCGAAAAAATCAGTAGTCTTGTTTCGATTCCTGCACCAAACAACTCTTTGTGTGATTCAATTCGTTGTTTTTAAATTATAAATGTGGTCACTAAACTACCGCATTGGACAACTGCAATGGTAGTTAACTTTAAGTTTTTAAAAAATGTTTTTTTTACTTATAAGGTAAGTAGGTCTACAAACAAGCATGCGAATTTTCTGATGGTAAGCAATCGGCGACGCCCATGGACACCCGCAACACGAAAAATTAGGAGCTAGTTGCCGGCCTTTTGAAGATAAGGGTTTCGGGTATTTAAGGATTGGTAAAACACTAACACGGGGAAACAACGCTGTTATTCCGGGTCTGTATGTAAGATTGTATGTTTGTAAAACTACTCACGGGAGAAGACAAAATCTTAATATGAAACAACAGTTTTTTATGTTAAACAAAAACACAACTGGACTACGGGCTTAGTCTGTATAAGAAGGTTATGTTATAATTTCTAGACTTTAAAGTCAGGAAAATGATTAGGTTTATCAGAGAGAGCTGCTGTCCGATCTCTTTCAAATGATTTGCAACAAAATCATCAGCCCATAAGTGTCCACTGCTGAGCAAATGCCTCATCTCACACGGAGAAGGTTTGATCATTAACCACTTTGCTTGCTCAAGGTCGATTGTCAATCAAAAACTTATTATTACAAGTCTATTATAAGTCTTCCTTTTAACTTTCCTCGCGATGTTTTCTTGCGCCGTATGTCAAATGTGTGGTGTCTAAATAATCATAGAAAGTACATATAACTCGCAAAAAGTCATATAGGTACTAGCTAGGTTTCGAAACGACATCCTTATGCATGAGAAGCGGGTTCCTTAACCTCGGAACCACCACGACACATTTGAATTAGTCGGCTCATATTATAGCGGCGGGAAAAGCCCAAAGTTACATTTTTTTTATTAATTATAGGTTCGCGCTTGACCGCTATCTCACCTGATGGAAAGCGACGATGCGGTCGACGATGGAGCGCGCTTACCTAGAAGTAACCTATTCACTCTTGACTTAAAGATACCCAGATTGTAACTATCAGGAAACACCGACTCCGGCAAGGAATTCCACTCCTTGGCTGTACGCATAATAAATGTGCTCCCAAAACGTTTTGTACGTATATGTGGGACATCCACCATGTACCGGTGGCGCAATGCCGTACGTCTGGTGGTCCGATGATGGAACGGGCTAGGCGGAATTAAATTATGTAATTCCAACGCACATTCCCCGAAATGCAACCGGTAGAAAACCGACAGGCTAGCAACTCTTTACAAGACTTTGAAGTCTCGACTCGACAAGTTACATAACATAATCTTTAGAATCTTTAAATTGTCATTAAATGGTAATAGAAAACAGGATGCCCTATCGTCTAAGTCGTACCAAATCTCCTTCCCTATATTAAAAATGATCCCTACAATAACTACACAGAAAGAGCAAAGAAAAATATACTTAAGTGGTATTTTATATCAATTCACTGGCAACATTTGTGATGAATGTGTTGCCCGCTTTTAATATCTCTTTTTATTGCCTACCGCAGGGTTTGTGGCGGGCTTTCTTATTTTTGTATTTATTTTATTTATTACGTATATATACACAATAGTTTTGTTGTAGTTTCTATCCGTTTATTTGCTTGTTTTCGTTCGGTTAGAGTGAAATGACGAAATATGTGCAAAGTTTTGAGGTTATATAAAATTGAATTCGTGTCGTTGTTTTTGCCCTTTGCGTGTTTTTGCCGTTAACTTTTTTGAGTAATCATCACGATAATCAATTCAAATTCAATATTTTTATATGAAATAATTATTTAAAAACGGGACTGTTATTAAAATATATAGGTACTCTTCTGAAAATTAGCGCAGCGTACTGAGATGGACTCCTTGTTACACTGTATTTTTTTAACCCCCGATGCAAAAAGAGAGGTGTTATAAGTTTGACGTGTCTGTCTGTCTGTCTGTGGCATCCTGAAGCCTGAACGGGTGAAGCGATTTCAATTTAGTTTTTTTTTATTAAAGGTGACTTACGTGCGAGTGTTCTTAGACATGTTTGACGAAAATCTGTTGAGCCGTTTAGAAGTTATGGGGGGGTAAGTGGGGAAGGGTAACCGAATGTCTGCAAATATACTCGAGTGGGGTCTCAAATGAAAACGCACTGAAAGGGAATGTTGATGACTTAATTGATAATAAAATGTTTGGATATGTCCTCCAACCCCACGTTTTCTTTTAATTATGACTTTTTAAAAGAATATTAGATTTTTGTCGGAGGTTTTTTAAGTTTTAATTTTTTTTTTTGTAAATGTTTATAATTTTGTGTGTTCAATTTATACATGCGCGTCGCAGTGACGTTACGACAGCCGTTGTGACTTCATACTAGTAGAGCTTTTCATAGTTAAGTCACGTGAGTTAGATGTTTTTTTAATTTCAATAAATTTTCGTATGTCACACGACAGTGAGGTATATACTATAAAAACATAATCTATTGTGCCAACACCAAACGGCTTAAGACACCTAAATGAAGAAAAACCAATGCAGAAATTATTCTAACAAAAAGGGTCGGTACTTGTCTAATAGCTACACCGAAATTATTGTTTTTTCTTTCCTTATTTTTAGGATTAATTATATTAACGCTGTGTAGGTATAGGGAAAGCGAGAGTTTATCCAAATTTTTTCCTACTTAGCAACGAAGAAACTGGTTTGTGCAAAGCCGACTTTATATGTAGGCCCTTTGCAAAGAGTAATTTCATTATCAGCCTATAAGTGCCCACTGCTGAGCAAAGGCCTCTTCTCACACGGAGAAGGTTTGAGCATTAATCACCACGCTTGTTCAAGACGGATTGGCGTTTTCAAACTTTCCTATAATTAGAAAATATAAGTCCAGGTTTCCTAACTATGTTTTCCTTTGCTGAGTATCAGTGAAAACATCCAATCAATTTGTCTTCACGGTTGGCATAGTGGCTGGGCAACTGGCTACTGTGCAACGTATCACGGGTTCGGTTCTGTCACGAAACAACGCTATGTACTATGTATGATCCATAAATTGTTTTTTCGTGTATGTGTATATAATTTCTATGTTTGTAAACGCGCTTACGACACAGGAGAAAATCTTAGTGCGGGGCAAAGTTTAACTTAAGAAGACATTGTTGCATTTCGGGGAGTGTGCGTTGGAATTACATAATTTAATTCCGCCTAGCCTGTTCCATCATCGGACCACCAGACGTACGTCATTGCGCCACCGGTACATGGTGGATGTCCCACATATACGTACAAAACGTTTTGGGAGCACATTTATTATGCGTACAGCCAAGGAGTGGAATTCCTTGCCGGAGTCGGTGTTTCCTGATAGTTACAATCTGGGTATCTTTAAGTCAAGAGTGAATAGGTTACTTCTAGGTAAGCGCGCTCCATCGTCGACCGCATCGTCGCTTTCCATCAGGTGAGATAGCGGTCAAGCGCGAACCTATAATAAATAAAAAAAAAAAAAAAAAGACAAGTCATATTGGTACTTGCCAGTTTTCGACCCGCAATATTTAGCGTTAGAAGCTTGTGCCTCCTTGGGCCACTATAACATGATATTAAGAAGAGTATCCAAGGTAAAACGGATTAAGATGTAAAGTCTCAAGATTGGAAACAAAAGAAGGTGGAGGTACATCGGTACCTCTACTCCATTGTATAGGAAAGTTTTGTAAGTACCACGGGAGAGGACAAAGAGGGCCTTATCAATATTAGTGATCTTTAGGAAGACCTTTTGGGTATATGTTGACGGTAGGCCATCGAATTGTAAGGGTTAACAGACAAAAGCCTGTCAAAAACTTTATCGAACTTGCTTTTGACAACATGAAAGGAATTAAATATTTTTATTTGAAAAACTATCGATTTGCCCTCAAAGGTGCAATCCTGATACTTATAGTATTATTTTCGAAGGCCTTCTTCTTTGATCACTCGATCAAAAAAACATAATCAAAATCCGTTACGTAGTTTTAAAGGTTTAACCATACATAGGGATATAGGGACAGTGAAAGCGACCTTGATTTGTACTATATATGTATGTAGTGATTAAAACGAGATTAATATTGGTGTTTTTTTTTAAACATATACCCTACTAAAAAACATACACAGCAGAGCTAAACCCGGGACAACTATGTTTTTGATCAGCTTAAGGATTATTTGTATCGGAACACAACCCGGGAAAAATTGCGTAGCATTCTGATCCGGATTCTGTCAACCGTTCAATTTAAAATAAACATGTTCCATTATTATCATCATCTGCTTGATCCCGTCCACTGTTGGACATTGGCCTGTCCAAATGCACGCCACTAAGCTCGATGTTCAGCTCTTCTCATCCAACCACTGCCAGCCACCCTGCGGATATTGCCAGTCCACCTAGCTGGAGGGCACTGTACACTACGTAAGACGTGGTCTCAATTCAACACATCTAAATAAATATGTTTACCATCCCGATTATGTATTCCATATTTACATATGTCGTTATCCAAGAAGACGGTCAAACTATTGCCATCAGGTGACCAATTGAAACTTCTGGTAAAGTAAGAAACAAATGAAATTAAATATTTATTCCCGTAGAAGAAGAGATTCACTCACGAACTATTAGTTGTCAAGATTCTTTTACTGATAGATAGCTACAATGTTCCTGAGTGCTATAGGCTATAAAACATCACGCTACGATCAAATGGAGCCGAGCAGCGGGTGAAACCGCACGAGAGTAGCTATTCGACGAATAAAAGTAGGTATTAATTACTTATTTTTCAATATTTTATTGTGTTGAGACGTCGATTTTTTTTGACCTTTGTAACTTACCCAATTCCCTGTCTCCACCTTTTCTCAAGCTATTTGATGACTACATGATT